CCCCTCGGAGGGACACAAACATGGCGGCCGTAAAGTAACAGAAACATCTGTCATCGAGTTTTGCCATTGAAACGAAAAGTTATTACTCTAGAGCTCCGATACATTGAAATTAACACTTCTTATAGAGCAACAACTGTTTAGTTAGCAGAAACTTGAGCAATAACTCATCTTTTTTACCTACTCGAAAACCTTATCGGGCCGCCTTTTTAATGTCACGCAACGCATAAACTTGGAAATTCAAACGTGCCCTACTTCAAAATGAAGAACCCTGTCGAGCTTAAACGCTGCAAAACGTCAAGTCATTAGAGGGCCTTACGCCTGATGAAACTAAAACTTCAGAAGGAATGGTAATTTTTTATTTTAGAAAATGATGACGTCACATGAAATGCGGCAATATGATGCTATTCCGATGCTATATTATTATTATCATCATCATCATCATCACCATCATCGTCATCATCATCATTATTATTATTATTATCATTATTAATTTTGTCTGCTTCATGTCAGTGATGACATTGTTTTTCTTGGTGAGAGGTTTATTGTGCCTTCGATCGGGATCAGGTATTTCGTTTAGTGTAGGCTTCTCAAGCTCGCTCTCAATAACAAAGATTTCGTTGTGCCAGCCAGGGAAATCGTAACATTAAGGTTGGTTATTATATGGCAAGCTCCGCGAGCGGGCAAGATGAATCAAATCCTGCGCTGTNTCTCGGTCCATAAACTCGCAAAAAAAGAACTTGGCCAATATCCAGCCATATTAACCTCACACTTGGCCAATAACTCATATTTACAGTGTCTTACTTTGAATGGTAGCTAATAGTTCAAAAGTCTCCCACCCACCTGTTGGTGGCTTCAGGTCTTTTATAAAAAGCATCTCATAAATTAAGCAGTCAAATTTGCTCTGGAACCTTTCGTAAAATCTTCGAAAAGGCCCATATGGGTTATGAAATCTCTAACCTTTTAACCTCTTCTGATCCAAATGTATCAAGTCCACACAGAACTGTGTTATCTGTATCGTATCTGTATATACACAGTCTACCTTCTGGCAACGGACACATGGTTGCGATACCAAGATGTCTGCTTACAGGAGATTCTATCTGAGTCTGAATCTGAATTTAAATCTATACCAATATGTATATTTGTTTTCTACTTGGTGATGCTCTAACAACCTTAGTATTTTTAATATGCAGTCAAATCAAACTGGTTACTACATACAGCTGCTTCTCAAAGAAGCTATGAAAACGTTAGTCTACGAAGAATGGAGACAGTTTCCATCTCCTGATTCACAGTCCGCGATACTGTAAGCTTAAGGACGTCCAGAGGATGCAAACGCTTTCACTGATGCACGCTGTAACCATGGATATTACTGCTCTGGGGGGGATACTGCGACACTGTCCCTTATCCAAGATAAGGCGGTGGTGGCTCTGATGGATAGGGGTTCGCTAGATATGGTGGTGGTGGTTCTGATGGATACGGGTTCCCTGATACTGGTAACGATTGGTCAGGTCCATCTGGAGCATAAACCACTGGAGGGGGTGTGAGAGAATCTGCTGCTGGTTGAAACAGTGGTTGATTGGGAGGTAGAGGGGGAAGTTGGACCCTCGTTGGTTGTGCGGCATGGGATGCTGAAGGCATTTGCATTCCAAAACCCGCTGCTCTGCTCGGAGTCTTTTTGCGTATTGCAATGAGCACTAAACAGCATACAAGTCCAATTAAGACTGTCACAGCGATAGCAACGCCTACTACCCATCGCAAAGAACCTAGAGTTTGATAGGAGCAAACAACTTAATGAGCATAGACTTGACTAATTAACAATTATTCCATTCGACCTTGTTGGATATGAAGTGATAAATAACCAACGAGCGCGTAGCGCGAGTTGGTTATGATCACTTCATATCCAACAAGGTCGAATGGAATAATTGTTTTAGTAT